GACTACAGGCACGCGCCAACATGCCCGGATAATTTTTATATTTTTATTAGAGATGGGGTTTCGTCAAGTTGGCCAGGCTGGTCTCAAACACCTGACCTCAGGTGATGCGCTTGTCTCGGCCTCCCAAAGCGCTGGGATTACAGGCATGAGCCACTGTGACCAGCCAGAATCTAAAGTTTCTTTTATTTGAGACGGGGTTTCACCATGTTGACCAGGATGGTCTCGATCTCTTGACCTCGTGATCCACCCGCCTCGGCCCCCCCAGAATCTAAAGTTTCTGTTAAGAAATGCTCCCAGGGCCGGGCGCAGTGGCTCACGCCTGTAATCCCAGCACTTTGGGAGGCCGAGGCGGGTGGATCACGAGGTCAAGAGATCGAGACCACCCTGGTCAACATGGTGAAACCCCGTCTCTACTAAAAATACAAAAAAAAATTAGCTGGGCATGGTGGCGCGTGCCTGTAATCCCAGCTACTCAGGAGGCTGAGGCAGGAGAATTGCCTGAACCCAGGAGGCGGAGGTTGCGGTGAGCCGAGATCGCGCCATTGCACTCCAGCCTGGGTAACAAAAGCGAAACTCCGTCTCAAAAAAAAAAAAAAAAGAAAAAAAAGAAATGCTCCCACACTCACCTTAGACCTTGTGGCTCAGGTAAGATGGGCTCCATCCCCGCTTCAGAGATGGCTCAGTGAGCCACAGCTGGCCAATCAGAGCATTCCCTGCCCATAGCCTAATAACTGGTTCAGAGATGGTCATGTGACCCAAGCAGGGCCAATAGGAATTGCACCTGGGACTTTGGTTGTAACTCTTAGTGAAAAAGGTCACCCTCTGGTGCTAAGCTGTGAGCATTGGGCTATTTTTGCCAATTGGGACCTCAGGGAGGTCTCAACAGAGAACAACGGCCAATGACGTTCTTGGAGACTCTGGATTCAGCTGTTCCAGATGTCAACTCAACTCTATCTAAATCTTTCATTTATTCTTTTTTTTTTTTTTTTGAGACACAGTCTCACTCTGTCACCTAGGCTGGAGTGCAGTGGTGCGATCTCGGCTCCCTGCAACCCCTGTCTCCGGGGTTCAACCAATTCTCCTGCTTCAGCCTCCCAAGTAGCTGGGATTACAGGCATCCACCAACACGCCCAGCTAATTTTTGTATTTTTAGTAGAGATGGGGTTTGATTATGCTGGTGAAACAGGCTGGTCTCAAACTCCTGACCTCAAGTGATCCACCCACCTTGGCCTCCCAAAGTGGTGGGATTACAAGCGTGAGCCACTATGCCTGGCCTCAACCCCTGATATTTCCGTTCTATAGCCAACAAGTCCCTTGTCTGCTTGAATTATGGTGTAGTGTGCTTCTGTCTGAGGCCACCACATGTGTCCTTTATGGTTCCAGTGGGGATCATTGATGGGGGAGCTTAAAAGAATCTGTCCCAGTTCTGCCTTCTGTGACTCAAAAGGGCATCCTATAGGGCCTGTGGACCTGTGACCGCCAGCATCTCCCCCAGCCCCTCCCAAACCCCCACCAGGCAGCTCCCCCTTCCTGGACCACCCCATGCACAGGGAGAAGAAGGGGAAAGTCAGAGGTGAGGGTGGGAAGTCAGGTCAGTCAAAGGCTGATTGGGTTACCTCGCGCTGGACAGGAAGTGACTGATGATCGGGGAGCACAGGGGCCTGGAGACTCCCATCACCCCAGTACTGGGGTATGCGGCCCCGGTCTTTGCTGCCCACCCCAGGTCCCATTCCTTGACGCCTCAGGCTCCCATTCCACCCCCGACCTCCACCAGTCACATGCTCAGCCGCTCTTCCCCCCCCAGGCTGATGCTTCACAGCAAGCTCAATCCGGGCCAGACTGGGGTGCTGGGGGTGCTGGGGGGAGTCGGACAGTGGTGGGTCAGGTGAGGGGTCAGACCAAGGCCAAAGCTAGTAAGAAGTGGGGAGGGGGGCAGTGCTGGGTGCCCCCATCCCATGCTTTGCTGGCTCCGTGGGGAAGGGTCTTTCCTGGGCCTCTCAGTGCCTCTCCCAACCCCATTCCCCACTCCCCAAGTCCCGGGACCCCTGCAGGGGAAGGTTCCTGGGACAAGTGGTCGAATCTCTTCTGCTATCAGCATCTCATCTGTGGAATGATGGACCCCTTGTGGGGCAATAGGAGAAATCCTTTTCAGATTCCCCAAGAAGGCTAGGCATGGAGGCTCACGCCTGTAATCCCAGCACTTTGGGAGGCCAAGGTGGGAGGATCACCTGAGGTCAGGAGTTAGAGAGCAGCCTGACCAACATGGTGAAACCCCCTCTCTACTAAAAATACAAAAATTAGCCAGGCATGGTGGCACATGCCTATAATCCTAGGAATGAGGAGACCAGCTGTGAGGCCAGGAGTTTGAGACCTGCCTGGGCAACAGAGCCCGGGAGGTGGAAGCTGCAGTGAGTTGAGATTTTGCCATTGCTCTCTGGCCTGAGTGACAGCGCCTATCTCAAATTAAAAACAAACTGGCCGGGCGCAGTGGCTTGCACCTGTAATCCCAGCACTTTGGGAGGCCAAGGTCAAGGTGGGTGGATCACTTGAGACCAGGAGTTCGAGACCAGCCTGGCCAACATCGTGAAACCCCGTCTCTACTAAAAATACAAAAATTAGTCAGGCATGGTGGTGTGCACCTATAACCAGTTACTCAGGAGGCTGAGGCAGGAGAATTGCTTGAACTTGGGAGGTGGAGGTTGCAGTGAGCTGAGATTTCAGCCTGGATGACAGAGCAAGACTCTGTCTCAAACAACAACAAAACCCAACACAGATTCTTCAAGAAACGCCTGGCATGAGGTCTTGCTCAGCATTAGAGGCTGATAAGTGTTCAACGTTTTCAACACTGGAAATATGACATCAAGTATATTAATAAGATCAATAACACCAGGCACGGTGGTTCATGTCTGTAATTCCAGCACTTTGGGAGGCTGAGGCGGGTGGATCACCTGAGGTTGGGAGTTCGAGACCAGCCTGACCAACATAGTGAAACCCCGTCTCTACTAAAAATACAAAATTAGCCAGGTGTGGTGGCACGTGCCTGTAATCCCAGCTACTCGGGAGGCTGAGGCAGGAGAATCGCTTGAACCTGGGAGGTGGAGGCTGACTGTAGTGAGCCGAGATGGCATCATTGCACTGCAGCCTGGGAGAAACTCGATCTCAAAAAAAAAAAAAAAAAGAAAAAAGAAAAAAAGAAAAGAACAATAACAATAGTGAGGAATTGCTGAGATCTTATCCTGTCCCAGACATGGCTCTAAATATAAGTCCTCCAATTCTAAACATAATCTCATCAGCCTCTTACAGTAGCTCACAGCTGTAATCCCAACATTTTTGGAGGCCAAACAGGAGGATCACTTGAGGCCAGGAACTGGAGATCAGCCTGGGCAAGAAAGTGAGACCCCCCTCCCTGACAAAAAAAATTTTAAAAATTAGTTGGGCATGGTGGCTGGTGCCTGTAGTCCCAGCTACTCGGGAGGCTGAGGCAGGAGGATCACTTGAGCATGGGAGGTGGAGGCTGCAGTACGCAGTGATTACACCACTGCATTCCAGCCTAGGTGACAGAAGGAGACCCTGTTTCTAAATAATAACAATATTAATAACAATAATCCTATGAAATAGGGTCCTTGAGTGTCCCCATTTTACAGATGAGAAAACTGAGGCTCAGGGAGACAGATTCTTGCCCAAGGTGCCTACCCAGGGAGTCACTGAGCTGGGATCTGAGCCCACCTCTTAACCTGACAGGTGCCTGTCCCCGGTCCCGGAATATGGCTTAAAAAAGACATCATCTCGGGAGAAATGGATTCTGGGATTCCCACTGGAATCGCTTTTTCTTCCCCATGTGGAACCAGCAAATCGTCCTTCCCCCTCACCCGCCTGGGCCCTCCAAGCCACTCAGGCCTGGGCGGGGGCCCTGCAGGCCCTGGAGGCAGAAGGGCGAGCCTTTTACTAGCCGGGGCCGGGAGGGGCGCAGGCACCGGGCACCAGGCGCGGGTGGCGGGCGGGCGGGCGGGCGGCGGAGGCACGTACCCTTCTCAGGATAAATGTCTTCACTAAGGGTAAACCTAGTACCTTTTCCACCATGGACTAATTGGGGGGTGGAGGGGGGAGAGAGGGGGGGAGCATGGGGAGCGGGGAGAGACGAGCCAGTGAGAGGTGAGGATGGAGGAGTGTGTGTGGAGGGGGCAGGGGAGGTGCGGAGAGGGGACAGCGAGTGAGAAGGAGGAAAAACAAGAGAGAGAGAAACGTCAGCTGCAGACAGACGGACAGACAGACACACAGCCTCCTGCTCCAGGGACGCCAGGGACACTAAAAGCAGCCAGATCTGGACAGGAAGCTGAGCTCAGAGACCCAGCGTCCACGGAGGGCACTGGGCTGGCTGGATCAGGGGAGAAGAGGACCGCTGGAGGCCACAGGGGGAGGCTCCATCCTCTCACAGGGGGAGACTGGCTGGATCGGGGGAGAAGAGGACCGCTGGAGGCTCCCCTCGCCCCAGGCTGGGTGTGACGGCGACTCTCCCTCCCCCTCCTGAGGTCAGCTGCCAAACTTCTTTCCCTTGTCTGTCGGGACCAATTGTGAAAAGGGGGGTCCCCAGGAAATCCTGCTCTCCATCCAGCCCCAGCTGCCCTGTGTGTGCGCTCAGAGAGGGACAGGAGACCGAAGCAAAAGACAGAGAGAAAGAGAGAGAGAGTTTGAGAAATGGGAACTCCCTCTCCGTCCACCCTCCCTCACCAAGTCGAGGTCCCTCCCTCCCTTGGGACTGTCAATCATTCCTTAGCACCTTAGCAGAGGTCCTGCTCAGGGGACTTCAACCACTCCCTGGGACCATGATGTCAGAAGCCCCACCCCTGGACCTGCCAATCATTCCTTGACCCCTTGACGTCAGAGGTCCTGCCCATCCTGAGCTGTCAATCACTCCTGACGACCCCCCAGAGAGGTAAACCACTCCTTGGACCCATGACTCTCGAGGTCCCCCAGGAGCCGACAATCATTCATTGGCCCTGGGACACCACAGATTTTCCCAGGAGACGACAATCACCTTGTGGACCTACAACGTCATAGGTTCCACACCCTGGTCCTTGATGTCAAAGACATTCCACCCCAGAGCTGTCAATCATTGTCTGGCCCCAGGAGATTACAGATTTTCCCAGGAGTGGACAACCACCTCCCGGCCTGTGATGTCAGAGGCCTCGCCCCGACAAACGTTGCATCACTCATTGGTCCCTGGACTTGGTGCAGAGATGTCAATTCTGCCCCATCCATGACGTCACAGGAGGAGTGAGCCAATGGCAGCTGCTTAGGCTCTGGGTTGGGCTGCCTCTGCAGAGCTGGAAAGGGTGGTGGGGTCTGGGCGCCCTTACCCTGGGCCGATTGCGTCTGTACGAAGGTCTTGATGAGCAGGTCGGTGGCCTGCGTGTAGAGTGACAGGGCATAGCGCAAGGATTGCAGGTCCGGGCTCTTCTCCAGGAAGGTCTTCTTAAGGCCCACGCCACCGGCGTGGAAATATTGCTGTGGAGGATGGGGTGGGGAGAAGTGAGGCTGGTGGCATCCTCTATCCACTCATATAGGGCTGGGCAGCCCTGCAGTTACCACTCCCGATCCCTCCCTCTGCTACTTTTTCACCTCCTCCTTTGCTTTGACCAGTGAACTCCTATGCATTCCTCAGAACCCATCTCTCACATGCCCTCTTCCCGCCTTGGGCTCCCTCAGCCCCGCATCCTTCCCTCTACCCCAAGCCTGACCCTACAAGGCCGAGGATGGCGTTCCTTAAGCCTCCAGCATTAGCCAGCCCAGCTCTGGCACAGAAGGGGGATGGAGGGAGTATTTACAAATTAATGAATTAATATGGGTCTGAGGTGAACCTAGGTTCATGACCACAGCAGCCACACACTCTGCACCCCCCACCTGGGAGGGGCAGAGGTAAGGCCTCTCACCTTGATGGTGTCCAGGGCCAATTCAACAACGGCACACTGCTTCGGGGTCAAGCTCTTGGCTTCTTCTCGTACCATGTGGTCCTGGATGGATAGGGAGAGGGCCACATGGGTAGTGTGGGCCCTGCCTTCAGAATCTGTGTCTATGGGCCTCATCTCTGTAAAACTTGGACAAGCTGGGCTGAGGGTCAATGTTTTCGTCATCCCAGCACCCAGCATGTGATTGGCACACAGCAGGTGCTCAATAAATATTTGGTGAATAAATGACGTGCCCTCTTGATCAAGCTGTACCTGAAGCTGAACTATTCACACTTTTCTGACACACTGGGGAGCAAATATCTTGTGCTTGAGTGAGTAGAGTTCCTGTCCTTGCAGCCTGTAATGCATGTCATCATCCTGGGACCCCTCCCCCAGGATGATGGCAACCTGGAAGCCACGTGAGTATGGGGGGGCAGTCCCCCACCCCATAATCTGTCCCCACTCCTCACCTTGAGTTTGGACAGCTGGCCCAGTTCCTTGGCTGCATTGAAGATCATCTGGGTTCCCTGCAGGTAACAACAGACAGCTGGGTGAGGGCAGGGATGCTACCGCCTTGTCCCCAAACACTCAGCTGACACCCCAGTCCAGGAGACCATCTTGGTCCTTGCCCAAAGGCTCGGGGCTGGGCAATAATTGTGTCCCAAGGACAGGGGTCTGGAACTCCCCAGGATGAACTCAAGAGGATGTGGTAACCTTGTCCTTGAAAATCCAAGTCCCGTGAGGATAGTACCCACCCTCTCAGCCCCACCCAGGCTTGTGAAATGGGAGAAACAGACAGGGGCCAGGTTGTGAGGGGCAGTGGATTGGGGGAGCCTCAGACAGTGGTGTTTGTGGGTGTGGGCAGGGCTTTTCAGGGAAAGGGGGTGTGGGGAAAACAAGAGATTGTGCTGGGGTTTCAGAAAATGGCTCTGGTGAAACACCTCCTCCTCCTCAAGGCATCATCCCCTCTGCAGGGAAATTTCCCCTGTCATCTGGGAGGACTTTCAGTCTGAGTTCTGTTTTGTTTTGTTTTTTGACACAGGGTCTCCCTCTGTTGCCCAGGCTGGAGTGCAGTGGCATGATCATAGCTGAATGTAGCCACAAACTCCTGGGCTCAAGAAATCCTCCCTCCTTCCCAGTAGCTGGGACTACACGTGTGAGCAACCATGCTCAGCTAATTTTTTTTTTTTTTTGGATGGAGTTTCACTCTTGTTGTCCAGGCTGGAATGCAATGGCACCATCTCAGCTCACCACAACCTCTGCCTCCCGGGTTCAAGTGATTCTCCTGCTTCAGCCTCCCAAGTAGCTGGGATTACAGGTATGCACCACTGTGCCCGGCTAATTTTTGTATTTTTAGTAGAGACGGGGTTTCTCTGTTGGTCAGGCTGGTCTCGAACTCCCAACCTCAGGTGATCTGCCCGCCTCAGCCTCCGAAAGTGCTGGGATTACAGGCGTGAGTCACCACGCCTAGCTGCTCAGCTAATTTTTAAATATTTTTGAAATATTTTTCGTAGAGATGGGGTCTTGCTATGTTGTCCAGGCTAGTCTTGAATTACTGGGCTCAATTGATCCTTCCACCTCAGCCTCCTAAAGTGCTGGGATTACAGGCGTGAGCCACATCGCTAGCCAGTCTGAGCTTTTAAAGGAAAAATCCTCCCTCTATACAACAAACACCTCCATATCCGTCCTCCATCCCACCCCCAAACAGATACTAGCAAGATGGCGATGCGGTGATGGCTCTGACAATCTAGATGGGTCTGGGTTCAAATCACAGCCCTGCTGTGTGCCCTGGGAGAGTCACTTAACCTCTCTGAGCCTCAGTTTTCCCATCTAGATGGGGAAAATTAGATTCACTTTGTGGCTTAGTCTGAAGTAAACAAGTCCTTGCTCTGTGTTCACTAATTATCACTTGGTCTCAAAGTCAAAGGCAATGTTAAGGGAGACGGGGTTCCAGCCTGGAAGCCATGCATGTGTCTAGCCTCCTCTGTCACTGCTGGGTGGCCCCAAGTGCGTCCCTGAGCCATCTGATCCTCAATTCCCACCCTGGCTAACAGGGATACCCACAGAAACTTGGGGGACAGAGTAGGGCTGAGTATTGAGGTAACGAGTCTTGTATTACTGGGTTCTGGGATGGTCTGGGGGTCCTGGGTGAGGCTAGATGGGGAGGGGGCCCATTTGCAGTGGGGATATTTGGAATTATCTTCATAGTTTACCTGCTGGCCATGTGGTCATTCCTACTAGTGTTATTATTATCATCTTGGCTGCTACTATCATTCTTATTTCTTATCTGTGATCCTGAAGTTCTTACAAGGCACAGTTACTCAGGAGCCCAGTGGACTGGGCCTCAGTTTCCCCTGCTGCACCCACCTGTAGTCTGGAAGGGCTCAGGGGCCTTCCTGGGCACCCTCTGCCCTACCCGCCAACCCCCCACCCACCACTCCCCACGAGCAAGCCAGACAGACAAAGGAAGAAGAGACCAACAGACAGGTTCACAGTACGCCCTCGGACGGCACGGACCACAGAGGTGGAAGGGGGCACGGGGTGGGGTGAGGGAGTGGGGTGGGAGCCAGACAGACAGTGAGAGGCTGGTCTTACGTCTGAGTGGCTTGTCAATTTCACCCTGCCCTGTGGAGAGAATCAGGTGGAGGTCAGCGTTCTGGTGGCTGCTGGGAGGATACTCAGTGGGACTTCCCTGCCCCCTCAAAGCACAGTCCCACTTCCCAGCCCAGGAGCTCCTCCCCAGGTCCTGGGTCTAATGGTGGGCCCCCTCCCTGGTTAGCACCTCCTCTTGTCCCTTAGCATGGGCTTCAGGGTTAGACTCCTTGACTACCAGCATACTCTCTGGGTGCCCAGGAGGCTGAAAGCAGCCCCATCCCACAGTCAGACTGCCCCAGGATGAGGTACCTGGGGAGGAGGGGAGATGAAACAGGGGTAGGAATCTCTCCTCCCCCAGTTCCTAAGGGGCTGCCCCTATATCTCTGTACCTGACTCTACAAAAAAACATACTAACATATACTGCAAGTTCACTCCATGCTGAAGAACTTGTACACGAAACTACACACATACACTCCTAAACACTTGCAGGCATGTGGACAATCACACACATAAACCCATACACCCTTGACCCCACAAGGATTCACATACACATATAGGGTGCCTGGCACATTGAATGTGACCCCCAAAGGGCTGGCTGAGAGAGTAGGCAACCCCCGTGTCCCACATTCACAAAGCTAAGACTCCATTTATATGCACACAGGCACAATAACATCTGCACAAATGCACAGCAAGACAGCTGCCTGCGTGTTGCTGTAGCTCCCATGTTGCTGTAGCTCCCATCTCCGTAACAACAAACATCCATTAGCACAGCAACAACAACAAAAAAATCTATGTAAAAAATAACACGTCTCAATCCAGAGTGGTGATCCAGTATGTAGGCTCTTCAAGAAGCCACAGAGTTTCAGCTGAGCCCAGGGCTGTAGGTACTGCTGTGGGAGGATGGGAGCTGTTTGTGCACACACATTAGTTCACATTTGCACACACGCTGCACATTCTCTCCCTGGAGAATCACTTCATCTCTGACGTCTGGTTTTTCGGGACTTGGTTAGGACAGCTATCCCTACCCACGACCCCCAGCTGGCCTTCCTGCCCAGGTGCACAGATGCACACACATGCACACACATGCCCAGACACCAGAGCTCAGGGCCTCAGTGAGATGAGGCCCTCATTACCTTTTCTAATCCCTTGCCATGTTTTCTCAAGAGGTTCCCCTGCAGAGACAATGTCACAGGGTGATCAACCTGGCAAGTTGTGCAGGGTGGGAACCCAGGATGCTCACAGGTATATTCATGGGGACAGGGGAATCCACACTGCACAGGGGACTGATGATTGGGTTGCATGGGGATTGTGGTGTGTGTGTGTGTGTGTGTGTGTGTGCGCGCGCATGCACGCGCGCTTGCTTTAATGACTGACTCTTAAATGGTGTGAGAGTCAGAGACAGTAAACAGAGAGAGAGAGAAAGAGATAGAGATACAGAGCTAGAGAAAGCCAGAAAGAAAGGAGAGAAGTCACTGCCAAAACATAATCCGTTTACATTTACTGTACAATGAGACTCTTGGTTCTTGAGTTAATAGCAAAGAAAATGGGCTGCATATTCAGACAGATCTGAATTTGAATCCTGACTCTGGCATTTACTATATGACCTTGAACAAGTGACTTGTCTCTGAGCCTCAGCTTTCCTCATCTGCAAAATGGGGACGATAATATCCACCTCATTCAAAGGCCTGTTATGAAGGTGAGCTGAAACGGGGGCTATGAGAAGGTCTGGCATATGGACAGTCATTAAATGCACATTCTTTGATCCCCCTGCCCATAAATGCATTGCTGTGGTTGGCTATGCTGCCACCAAAGCATACCCTTTGGCTCTCTATGGTTACAGCCAAAGACCCAGGCTGCAGCTACCAAGAAGTAAGAAGAGCACTTGTAAACTTTTGACGAAGTGAAATCTTGTGACAGCCTTGTCTTGCCCACAAAGGGAAAATCTGAAGTTGTTTTGTCTGTACTCTCGTACATGTCTGCATATCACTGCCCCCCCCCCCGCCCCACCACCACCACCATCATTAGCTCTGATTTAGTGATCGCTGCCTCTGGGCCAGTCACTGAGAGTGCAGTGGCGTGATCTTGGCTCACTGCAACATCTGTCTCCTGGGTTCAAGCAATACTGAGATGACTATTTTAATGCATCATGCCATTTGGTTCTTAGAACTACCTTCAGGGACATGATGCAATGAGCCCCATTTTCCAGACAAGGAAACAGAGGCTGGGAGGTCAAATGACTTCCCAAGGTCACACAGAGAGAGAGAGTGGCAAGGCTAGGAACTGACCCCAAGTCTGCGTGACATCAAAGCCATGACACAAGTCTCCCACTTGGGCACCTGGGTGTGTGTCTGGCATTGGTGTGTGCCAGTGTGGATGGCGGGAGTCAGGTCGGCAGGGTGGTGGGGTACTGAGGAATGGTCTGGAGCATGGAATTTCAGGGGAGTCAGAAGTAGAGACCCTCACGATGAGGATCTGCATTCTGGGAAGCTGCTGACAGTTCAGAGCCCAAAGAGGAGGTCAGAGGGATCCTGGGGCTGATCCTCTTTCTAGCTTCAGGGCATCTGGTGGCATCTGGTCACGGGAGCGAGGTTGGATTCTACCCATAGATGGCAAGTCTGCTGTGAAGGAGGAGCTGGGCCCGGGGTTTGGAAGTGGGTTGGAGGGGGGCTCCTCTGGACTTCAGTGGGACAGGGTGGGTGGGTGTGGTCTCCCTCCCTCCCAGTTCTGCCCCCTCCCCATGCCCTGCCCCAGACAGACACAGGCACATCTAGGCGGGAGGGAGGATGGTGGGTGAGGAGGGGGCGCTGGGTGGGTGGGGAGAGGGGTGCAGCGACGCGGTGGGCTGAGTCCCGACACAGAGCGGACGGACAGACAGACGGACAGACGGGCCTCTACTTACGATCATCTGTCAGCCATGATGGGGGCGGGGTGGTGGGGGAGGGGGGGAATAAGGTACCATAAGTTTCCCAGGAAGGCCAGGGAGGGGTCGGAGACGGCAGCAAGGAGGGGCAAGACCCCTGCCCCAGCCCAACCCACAGGATTGGGGAGGCTGGGAAGTCCGGGCCTCCCCGACGAGAGGGGCATGACCCCTGCCTCAGCCCAACCCACAGGATTGGGGAGGCTGGTAAGTCCGGGCCTCCTCGACTATTGTCGCCTCTCTTTGGCTCCCGAGCACCCTCCCCAAGCCTCCAGGGTCCAACTGGGGCAGACCTCCCTGTTCCTTGATGTGCCCATAGCCCACGTGCCATTGCTGTCCTCAGGTTCCTGAGGCCTCCCGGAGGGACCCACACCCAACTACATCCCTCTACAGATGTCTGGGTCCCCCTGGTCCTTGGCGGGGGGGGGTTCTATAGATCCTGGTCTCTGGATGGCCACTGACCTCTACTTGACCTCTCTGACCCTGGATGCCCTTCATGACCTTTGGCTGACCTCCAGGAGCCCCCTGGTCTATTGATCTCTGATCTTTGGAATGAGCCCCAAAGCCCTTAGAAAAACCCACCATTGATGTCTTTGATGTCTATGTCTTTTTTTTTTTTTTTTTTTTGAGACAGGGTCTCACTCTCGCCCAGGCTGGAGTGCAGTGGCGCCATCTTGGCTCACTGCAGCCTCCACCTCCCGGTTCAAACAATTCTCGTGTCCCAGCTTCCCAAGAAGCTGGGATCACAGGCATGTGGCACCACACCCAGCTAATTTCTGTATTTTTAGTAGAGACAGGATTTTACCATGTTGCCCAGGCTGGTCTTGAACCCCTGACCTCAACCAGTCTGCCTGCCTCGGGCCTCCCAAAGTGCTGGGATTGCAAGCGTGAGCCATGGTGCCCAGCCAAGGTCTATGCCTTCCATGACTGAAGTCTACCTGTTTTCTAGATGACCTCTGATCTCTGAATGCTCTTTTGACCTACATGCGACCTCTATGACTTTAAATATCTCTTGACTCTACCTAATCTCTTTGACCCCGGAGTCACCGCGATGGACTCTGAATGACCTCCTTAGCTCTTTGATGAACTTTAACCCCCATGTGACCTCTCTGACCTCTGAATGGCCCCTCTGACCTCTGGTGGCTTCCACGACCCTTGGATGGACCTTGATCCTGGATGACCTCTCTGAGCCTGGACGCCTTTGTTCACACCCCCCAGCCTCTCTAGGCACCAAGTTTTCTGGGCTCCCACCAGGGAGGTGACCCAAGTGTCCCCATGGGCCCCCTGCAGTCCTCACCGTCTGGTCGGTGAGGGGGGGCAGGACGATGGTTTTCTCCATGGTGTTCATAACCAGCTTCCACAGCTCCTTCAGCACTCGTTTCAGCACCGTCTTCTCACAGATTTTGGCAAAGAGGGTCAGGCTGGGGGGGAGGGGCAGGTCTGAGAGGGGGCCCAGCTGGTCCCAACCCACAGAGCCCCTTCCCTTAACAGCTGGGCAAGGCATTCCACAGACATGAAAGAGGGCACACAGCCTGTACAGGGACCCCTGGGTGGTCTAATGGGGCTGTGATATCTGATGCATAAAAAGAAGAGCGAGTGGTGGTTGGACTGGCCAGCAGGGACCAGATGGGAAGGGGCATCAGTGTCTGGGAGGAAGACTTGGGCCTTATCATGAGGCTAGGGGTAATGGGGAGCCACAGTGCATTCAAGAGGGAGACACAGCCAGCCTTTCATGTTTGAAAGAACAGTGTGGGGGATGAACTGAAACAGGAAGGATGGAGATCAGGGACTATAAGGGATAAGGCCAATCCCAGGAGAAAGAGGAGGGGAATGGTCAGAGGAGGGCAGACTTGAAAGGGAAAACAGCAAAGAAATTGTGGTTGGATGTATAGGGGTTGAAGGAGAGAGGCAGTCCACCATGATCTATCCACCAACTGATCCAGTACCCACCAATCTATCCCTCCTCCAGTGGTCTTTAATTCTCTATTTTTCTATCCATCCACCCATCCATCCATCTGTTCATCCATCCATCCTTCTATGTATCCTTCAAGCCATCTACCCACTGGTCCATTTATTTATCCATCCACTAGTTCATTCATCCATCTGTCCATCCATCTATGCATCAAAACATTTATTCATCCATCCAAATATTTCCCACCTATTCATCCATCCATCCATCCATCCATCCAACCACTGACCCACTCATCCACCCACCTACCCATCTGTCCATTCATTTATGCATCACGACATTTATTTATCCATCCAAATATTTATCCACCTGTATCTATGTACCATCCATCCACCTACCCATCTGCCCACCCATCCACCCATTCATTTATTCACCCAGCCAGCCATCTGTCCATCCATTTCTGCATCAAAACATTTATTCAATGATCCAAATATCTATCGACCTAATTATCCATCCATCCGTGTATCCATCCATCCATCTGTGCATCAAAACATTTATTCATTCATCCAAATATTTATCCACCTATCCATCCATCCATCCATCCATCCATCCATCCGTCCACCCATCCATGCATGCATGCATCCATCCAGCCATCTGTGCGTCAAAACATTTATTCATTCATCCAAATATTTATCCACCTATCCATCCATCCATCCACTCATCCACCCATCCATTTATTCATCCATCCGCCCATATGTCCATCCATTTATCCATCAAAATATTTATTATCCATCCAAATATTTGTTCACCTATCCATCCATTTATCTATCCATCCATCCAACCATCTATCCATCCATCCAGCCAGCCAGCCAGCCAGACATCCAGACATCCATCCATCCATCCATCCATCCATCCATCCATCCATCCAGACATCCATCCAGCTATACATCAAAACATCTATTCACCCATCCAATGACCACCCAGCAAACGTTCCCTGCACACTCTCTGCAGACCAGTTCCTGGGTCTCTCTGGCCCTGCCCCAGCCCCTCCCTGGCCAGCCCAGTCCACCTGGCCCGGCTCACTTGCTGTCCAGCAGGTCCATGATGGGCTGTAACACATTGTCAGCATCCTGGGCCACGCTACTGCAGGCACTGGCTGGCACATTGCCTGTGCCCTTAACCTGGCTAAGGATGTCACCCATCTGTTTGACACACTCTTCAATGTGCGGCTGGAAGCTGGGGACACAGAAGGGAAGGGCTCAGACCAGAGGAAGGGCTGGATAAAGACGCAAATGCTGACCTGTGGTTGTTAAGGTCGTAATCAGCATCACAGCACATAATCAAGCAAGAATGAAGAATCATAACAGCAGAACCAGGCAAAAGGACAAGACATTTGCCTGTTGTTCATTCTCAAAATCCTACTCAGGTACTATTATGGTCATCACCCACACTTTACAGAGGAATAAAAAAATATATAAGGCTCGAGAGGTTAAGTGATTCCCCCAAGGAAGTCACTAGTCACAGCTAGTAAGCAGTAAAGCCAAGATTTGAACTCAGCCTTGTCTAACTCTGAGCCTGCAATCTTCATTTCTACATCTGCTGAGCCTCCAGACGCCCCAGGCTCAGAGGGCTGGGGGCTGTTCCCTCCCCACTGCCCCCAGCCCTGGAGATGCTCCCACCTGGTAGCAAACACCCGGCTGAGCTCGTCCAAGACATTATTGAGTTTCACCTGAAGCTCCTTCAAGATGTCACTGGCTTCGGCATCCAACTAAGGAGAGAGAAGGGACATCAGGCCAGGTCCAGTAAGCATCCACACGTACTGGGCACTTTCTCATCTGACCCAGGGAAAGGGATCCCAAGGGGCTGGAGGGGAAACTGAGGCACAGAGAGTTGCACGGCATGCCTGGATTTAAGAGCATGGTTGAGCTGGAATTTATCCCCAGGCCTGGTGGCATATGAGCTCGGGGGCCTGCAGGAACACACATAGTGGTGGGGGTGCCCCTATCCCTTCTCCAGCCCTGCCTGGGCCCTGCCTCACCTCCTTCCCTCCCATGGCTTCGAACATCTTCTCCAGCTGAACTCGTAGCTGTTGCGTGTTGTTCATGAGGATGCAGGGCTGTGGAGGGGAACAGAAAGGGGAGTCAGGCCTCAGGACTTCTCCCCAGAGCCCCCCTACCCACTGCCAGGGACCTCGGGATGGTTTCAGGGTCTGGGTTTGGAGGAAGCTGGGGTTCTGCAGGGTCACCTGCAGATGGAAGGCAGCATTTGGGCTCAGGTTTCTGGGCGTGTTGTCGGGAGGGGGCATCTCTGGGGATTGGTGGGACAAGGAGGACTCAAGTAATCTCCCAACCCCAGGCCCGGTAGGTCCATCAGAGGGGCTGGGAACTCTGGGGTAGCGCAGTTTCCTGCAGGGGCCCAAAGTTTTCCAGTTCACACCCCGAAGGCTTCATTTGCAACAGCCAACAGTGCCACACTAAGGTGGGTGCCCTCACACCCAGATATACACACAAGATCCCCCAAAGACACACAAATCCAGACAGGCACAGTCAGACACAGCCACAGACACACACTCACACCATGCACAGTCAACACAGCCAGACGCACACACACACTCACACTCACTTATACTCTCACACTATATGCAGTTAACTCAGCCAGACAAAACATGGTCGCACACACCCAGACACGCACAGTTGGACACACACATAAGCATACACACACACTACAACCGGTTAACACAGCTAGATAAAATATGAGACGTGCACAGTTGAACACACACACACATACATACACTCATGCTTTACCCAATTAACACAGATGGATAGAACATGGCTAGACACCCACACTCAGATATGTACAAACACACACAGTCACACGTATGCTCACGTTATACCCACTTAACACAGCTAGATGAAATGTAATCAGGCATGTGCACTTAGATGTGCACAGACTCACACACACATTCATGCTACACCCAGTTAATAAAGCCAGCACACTCAGATGTTCACGGACTCACACACACACAGTATACCAGCCAACACAGACAATACACAGTCACATGCACTCGGATCCCATACACTCAGGCACACGCAACTAGATACACTCTGATCACACACATTCAAACAAGCACCTCTAACCACACACACAAGCCAGTCAGATTACACACAGCTGGACACACATAGCACCAGGTGTCGGGGCCCTGGGAAGAAGGGAGCCCTGGGGATGCTGAATGGGGCTGAGGAGGGGATAGGTCAGGGGCCCCTGCAGGTCACCACTTTCTCCTTCTCCTTGGAGCAGTAGGAGGCAAAGTCCTTGGAGATGATGTCTGCGTACTGGAGGAGCACATTACTGATGGTCTGGGAAGACACAGAGTGTGGGTGAGAGGAGAGGCTGGGACCAAGGCATGTTCCAGTCACCAGGTGCCATCAAGAGCCACTAGTGAGATCAGTGATGAGCTCAAACCTATTAGCACCTAAGATGGACCCTTGGGCTAGGCAGATTCTCCACCCAAGATGAGCATCAAGGCCTAGAGGAGGTGCCACTCGGTGAAGACAATCATTTTATGTAGACCCAGCTCTTTTTCTTTGTTCTTTTCTTTTCTTTTTTTGAGACAGAGTCTTGCTCTGTGGCCCAGGCTAGAGTGCAATGGCATGATCTCGGCTCACCACAACCTCCGCCTCCTGGGTTCAAGCAATTCTCCTGCCTCAGCCTCCTAAGTAGCTGGGACTACAGGCAAATGACACCACACCCAGCTGATTTTTGTATTGGAGTTTCACCATGTTGGTCAGAATGGTCTCGAACTCCTGAACTTGTGATCTGCCCGCCTCGGCCTCCCAAAGTGCTGGGATTACAGATGTGAGTCACTGCGCCTGGCCAACCCAGCTCTTTTTCAGAGCAACCAAGCATCATATTAACCCAGCCTCAACTACAAGTATGACCTGATCTTAAATCAAAAGCCAGTTCCTACCTGCAATCCCCAAGGTCAACACAGCCTAATGCCAATCAATCAAACCTCAACCCCAATGATCCCAACCCTCAAACTCACCCCAAGACTCACTCAAATTCTGTATCAATCTCAGCACTCACTCCAACCTCGATCCCAAATCAAGACGCAACCCAGCCTCAAACTCCAACCAAACAGCGTTGCCAACTGCACCAATGACCTCAAATCCTCAGTTCACACCCTGAAGTCTTCAAAACATTTATTCAGGCAGGAGCGGTAGCTCACACCTGTAATCCCAGCACTTTGGGAGGCCAAGGCGGGCGGATCATAAGGTCAGGAGTTCAAGACCAGCCGGACCAACATGGTGAAACTCTGTCTCTACTAAAAATACAAAAAATTTAGCTGGGCATGGTGGTGTGCACCTGTAATTCCAGCTTCTTGGGAGGCTGAGACAAGGAGAATCACTTGAACCTGGGAGGCGGAGATTGCAGTGAGCCGAGACCACACCACTACACTCCAGCCCAGGCAATAGTGCAAGACTCTCTCAAAAAAAAAAATTATTTATCCATCTAAATATTTACCTACCTATATCTATCCACCATCCATCCATCTACCCATCCACCCACCCACCCATCCACCCACCCATCCACCCATCTCAACCTGATCTCAAACTGCACCTCAACTTCAACCTGAGCCTACACCTCAACTCCAATCTCAGTGTAAACACCACCCCCAACCCCGACCTCCAGCCAAACCTCAACTCCAACCTCATCTCAACCTCAACCTCAACCCAACGTCAATCCCAGCATCAGTGACACCACCAACCCCAACCGTAACTATCTCCAACTCTGACCTCAATTCCCCAGCTCTGACCCCAGCCCCCAGCCCCAACCCTGCCCACTTTCCCACACCTTGGCAAAGCGTCTCATGTAGTGCCCCACAATCTGGGGGTCGGGGCACTCAAGTTTCTTGATGATTTCAAAGCTCTGGTTGAGTTGGGAGAAGACATCCACCACGGAACAGGAGAACAGAGCATGCTCCGAGGTCTGCTGGAACTGCAGGGGAAAGAAGTCCGGGGGAAGGAGGAGATCAGTGCCAGAGAAGCCCCAGAGCCTGACTCTCCCACTCTCCACAGGGAGAGCCAGAGACCACCTTCCCCAGGGTGAGATGGCAGAGGGCGAGGTTGACTTAGAGCCAACCTCTAGAGGTGGACACGGAAGCCAGGGTGTATGGAGACGTTTGGCTTGATGGAACTCACATCAAAAAAAAAATTTTTTTTTAAAGACGGGTATTACCATGTTGGTCAGGCTGGTTTCGAACTCCCAACCTCAGGTGATCCACCCGCCTCAGCTTCCCAAAGTGCTGGGATTACAGGTGTGAAATACCACACCTGGCCTGGAACTCACATTTTGTAGTTGATGAATAAACAAAAGATTTAAAAAACCATGAGCGAGACAAAGATGGCGGATACCTATCAGAGACCGGCCTCATCCCAAGGGCAAATTTCCCCCGAAACTCTACCCCAACGGGAAGATTAGGAACTTGGTTGTGGGTTGGCCTTCTTACCCCATCCTTCTTGTCTCGCTCCAGGGCGCCATGCAGGAAATCCCGGGACACCTCCTCATTCTCGTCCAGCCACTGGATGACGAAGGGTTCAAACCATCTGGAATGAAGAACCGGGGTGGGGCTCTGCCAGCTCTTGGCTTCCTCCACCTCTGCGCTGCCTGGTTCTGACCCAATGCTAGGTGGTGCTACAGTGGCTCCTACTCTTCCTGGAGCTCTCCCTGCAGCCTTGAGCGGCTGCCCCTCCGCCCACCTCCTGCACCGAGCCTCAGTTACCCGACTCATGAAATAGATTGAGTGGCCCCTTTGACAGCAGGGCCCAGACCTGTGGGAATCTTAGTTCAGATACACTGCCCATATCAAGTGGGTTTTTTCTCTGAGCTCTTGTTTTGTTTTATTTCATTTTATTACTGAGACAGAGTCTCACTCTTTCATACCTCAATCCAGGCTGGAGTGCAGTGGTGCGATCTCTCCTCATTGCAACCTCAGTCTCCTGGGTTCAAGCAATTCTCCTGCCTCAGCCTCCTAAGTAGCTGGGATTACAGGCATGTGCCACCACGCCCAACTAATTTTTATATTTTTTAGTAGAGTTCGGGTTTCACCATGTTGGCCTGGCTGGTCTTGAACTCCTGACCTCAGGTCATCCTCCTGCTTCGGCTTCACAAAGTGCTACGATTACAGGTGTGAGCCACTGCGCCCAGCCAAGCTCTTGTTTTTCTTTTCTTTCTCTCTTTTCTTTTCTTTTTTCTTTTCTGTTTTTTTTTTTTTTTTTTGAGACAGAGTCTTGCTCTGTTGCCCAGGCTGGAGTGCAGTGGTGCGATCTCAGCTCACTGCAACCTCTGCCTCTCGGGTTCAAGTGATTCTCCTGCATCAGTTTCCTGCATAGCTGGGATTACAGACACATGCCACCACATCTGGCTAATTTTTGTATTTTTAGTGGAGACGGGGTTTTATGATGTTGGCCAGGGTGGTCTCAAACTCCTGACCTCCGGTGATCCACCCACCTCAGCCTCCCTAAGTGCTGGGATTACAGGTGTGAGTCACTGTACCCGGCCAATTTTTGTATTTTTGTAGAGCTGAGGGTTTGCCTTGTTGGCTAGGCTGGTCTCGAACTCCTGACCTCAGGTGATCTCCTGCCTTGGCCTCCCAAAGTCCTGGGATTAGAGGCACAAGCCACTGCGCCTGACCCATTCACTCATTTTAGAGATGGGGTCTCACTACCTTGTCCAGGTAGGTCCCGAACTCCTGGATTCAAGCAAGCTTCCTGCCTCAGCCTCCCAAATTGCCAGGACTCCAGGCATGTGCCACTGTGCCTGGCCATTTGGCATCTTTAACTCTCCAATTTCTCCTCCGCAAAATAGGAGTTAAAATGATCCCACCTTAACTCATAGAATTGTCAAAGGATAAAATGAGAAAGTCGCATGCTTCCTGTTGTTGTTATGACTAGGCCAGGCTAGGAATTTTCTGGGCTATAGGAGTCAACTGCTCAATGGCTGAGCCTAGAGAACACGGGATTCGAGCCCAACCTGTGCCCCCGATGCCCAGGTAACATGAATAGGTCAGCCCTCCCCTCTGGGTTTCCTTCTAGCAGTCAGTGCTATGGCTCTGGCTTGGGCTGGGCTTGAGGCAAGGGACTTACGCAGGGTACTCAGGCACACAGTCCTTAAAGGCAGGAAGTTCTGTCACATACTCATTGTAGAGCCATTTCACCTTGAAGTGGAGGTTCATGTAGTCGGCACTCTTGCATAGACGATGTTTGTCATGCTCTGGCCAGGGACAAAGAGGGTGGCACAGCTGGAAGGTCTGCCACCCTGTGTCTCGGCAGAGAGGCTGCCCACTCTGGCCGTCACTGATGTCCAACTCGGGCATAAGGGTATAGGGTACTCACAGCCTTGGCGGGGGACACAGAGGAGCAGCCACCTCTGTGGCCAGGCTGGGAAACACTGGGGTGGGAAACTCACCCTCCATGGCATACTTCATGTCTTGGGCAAACAGATTCCACATCACTTCGGCGCTGATTTTACCCACATTCAGCTCCTGGGGAAACCTGGCAAAGGCATGGAAGTATAAAACTTTGGCAGGCAGAAGACAGATGGCATGGGCTGCTTTGTCCTTCCCTGCCCTAGGAGTGTAGGATAGGGTAGAGGGATTTGGGTTCAGGTTCCCTCATAGCCACTGCTGGCTGACGCTGCACTAAGGCTTCGTTTCTTCTTGAGCCTCCACCCACTCATCCATCTGTCCTTCCATTCATTCATTCATCCACTCACACAACTATTCACCCATACATTCACCAACTCATTTATCTATCATCCATCCATCCTTCCATCCATTCATTCACCCACTCATGCAACTAACTATCCATTCACCCACCCACTTACCCATCTGTCTATTTATCCATCCACC